GAATACACAGATGCAAAATGGACATTCATCTGTATACCCTTTTTTGGGTTAAGTTCCATTATTTGAATATTATAGATGTGTTAACTTAGCAAAATATTCTAAAAGAGTCCAGTAGCCCATAATAGTATTGGGTCTTCTGCTTGACTGGCAATGTCAGAAATTGTTGACCTGAGTCCCCTACAACTCAACATAACAGCATGGCTTTACTTTTTTTTTTTGCGGAACCAGGGATTGAACTCAGGCTCTTGTGCTTGCCAGGGAAGCGCTTATTCCACTGAGCCATCTCTCCGGCCCCAGCTTTACTTCTTATATTTCGTTTTTATATTTTTCTGCTGGATGGTTAAGACCAAGGTAAAGCAGGACCTATGCAACAAGAGTTGTAGCTTTTGGGAGTTCCAAAATTTTAATTCATATTATTCTATAGTATTTCATGCATATCAGTTTCAGGAATATACTGAAAACATATTTACAGAGTAAATAACTTGTTTTACTACCAGTTTACCTGTTTCATAATCTCATAGTACATATTTTTCAAGGTGAATACATATAACTCTACATTACATAATTAATTTGGAAAATTATTTTTCCCCCAGTGCTGGAAAACTAACTCAATGTCTTCCACATATCAACTAAGTGCTACACCACTGACCAACAAACCAGCGCTGCCCTGATACTGATATGCATGTATGTTGAAATTCATAGGATTAGCGATTATTGCCAATATCCATTTTTTATTGAAAACAATGTATGGGCCCAGGATGTGGCTGAATGGTAGAACCTGTGCACTAAGAACAAACAAAACAAAACAGCAGCAGCACACAAAGATATAAAAATCATGATGCGCACATTAGCATTTAAATTTTTTTTCTTTGTTTGATACAGGGTCTTGTTATGCAGTTTTGATTTGTAGCGCTCCTCCTGCCTCAGCTTCCCCAGAGCGGAGATTACAGGCGTGCGCCACTATGTACTGGAGATCGAGCTTGGGACCTTGTGCTTGCCAGATAGGTGCTGATGCTGCCAATGGATCTCCCCAGCCCCCAAATAGCATTTTTTAAAACCTAATATAGCGCTGGGGATATAGCTCAGTGGCACAAGCACCTGCTTGACAAACACAAGGTCCTGAGTTTGGTTCCTGGAACCAAAACCAAAACCAAAACCAAAACCTAAAACCCTCTAATGTGCCTTGGATATCTTTTCATAGTGATAATATACTTTTTTCTTGATACCTTATTATATTGAGCATCAGCAAGCAGTTATATACAACCAGCTATTAAAACAAAATTTAATTTCTTAATCTTAAATTTAATTTTGCTTGTTTCAACTAAGTGCAAGTAAAGGAAGACCTATCTTTTCTATAATGGTATTTTCTTGTAGAAAAAGGTAATCCCTTAAAACAACAGTTATTTTTATACTGAATTGATTTTTATATTCATATTTTCATTTTCTTTAGAAAGCTACTATATGAGTTTTATCAATTTTATTAAAAAACAAATAGCAATGAGACAGTTTCAAAACTGATTAATAGGACAGTTTTAATAATTAATACATTGCATATTGTTGTCTTCGTAGTGGTTATTCATAGTACAAGATGCAGGCATGATATCCTATCCAAACAGTATTAGTACAAATTTTTCTAGAAAGCTACTATATGTATTTTATTTTTTTTTAATTTTTAATTTATTTATTTGTGTGTGTGTGTGTGTGTGTGTGTGTGTGGCCAGCTCAGCCCATCAGGGGGCGGGGCT